CAAACAGCAGCGGCCGCTTGCAGGCTGGTACTCCCTCTAATCCCACCACCACCCGCTGCCGCTGCTTTCTGTCTGTTGATATACTGCTGCTGTTTGTGTTCGGTGGAGAATCGCTGCTGCTGCTGCTGCTGTTGCTGCTTCTGCTTGCGCTCCCATTTTGCGACTCCGAAACAGTGGCCCCATTACTAGCAGCCCTATTACTAACAGCCCTGTTAATAGCTGCTCCGTTAGTAGCAGCCACATTACCAGCAGCAGCGCCATTCGCTCCAGCAACTTTATCTCCTTTACTAGGAGATTCGCTAGCAGCAATGCTGTTAATAGGAGATTCCTCCACAACAGTTGAGAGAAAGACAGGGCTGGAAAAGCGGCGGAGAAACCTGCATTAAGCAGCAGAGGAAAAAGGTTGATAGGAGGAGCACAAGATGATTCTGGAAGGATATGTTATGCTCGGGAAATATATAGATATATATATGTATATATATACATATATGATGATATATGGACATCTACATCTTTCACAGTAGCTGAGAGGAATACCGCGGTGCAGAAGAAAAAGCAGCGAAGAAACTCTATACATGAATGAAACGAAAGGTTTGAAGTGAAAAGCTTTAGGCAGAAAGGCTTAGGCACAAGGTTGCATACCCTCTGCACCCAGCCATCCACCCACCCATCCAGCACAGATTTGGCCCGAGCTAGCTCCTGTACAGTGGGAGGCTGAAATCCTGTCACCACAGGGTCGTCCCCTGACCTCCCAACTCACAGGTTCTCACTCAAAAGCAACCCTTGTTACCATTCTCCACCCCTCTCTCCACCCACCCGTCCAGCCCTGATTTGGCCCGAGCTAGCTCCTCCACTGTGGGAGGCTGAAAGCCTGCAACCACAGGGTCATCCCCTCGGATCTGAATGTACATGTGTGCTCCCTTGATGGTTGACGCAAGGTCTAAGCCTGACTCCTGATAAGAGGGTTTGGGGACCAGGGAAGCAGGACACGATGTACGATGCTAGGGTTGATTGCTGAAAGCTTGCAGACACAGGGTCGTCCCCTCGCCTCTGAATGTACATGTGCGCTCCCTTGATGGTGGAAGCAAGGTCTAAGCCTGACTCCTGATAAGAGTGGCGAAGTGGGGGGGTGGAGAGGGGAGGGGGGAGGGGGGTGGTGTACACGGTGGTGGGTGTGGTTGATATCAGCCTGCCACCACAGGGTCGCCCCCTCGCCTCTGAATGTACATGTGCACTCCCTTGATGGTTGAGGCAATGCCCAAGCCTGATTCCTGATGGGTGTTGGGTCAGAGAAGGGGATGGGGTGAAAAAGATGGGCATCTAAGAGGCTGGGGTTGATTGCTACGAGCCTGCCTACCATCACACATCACAGGTCATCTCAAGGTGTTATGAGAATTCTCAAAAACACACTGCAACTTCTGCAGGTCAGCCCACCGTTCTATTACCCTTAAGAAAGGAGGAAGTGCAATAAACACTTACCACAAGGAGGAGTGCACAAGGAGAAGCACTCACCAACAGCAGCGCATAGAAACACTCACCAGCAGCAGTGCATGCCCTGAACCCTCGAACACCCACACAACCGTCCGAACTTTGACTTCACGCAGCCACCTCAAAACAAGACGAGAGCAGCAGCAACACATAGAGCAGCACTCACCAGCAGCAGCGCATGCCCTGACCCCTCAAATATCCGCACGATTGTCCGGGCTTTGGCTTTGGTTAGGATCTCCTGCAAGCGACCAGCTTCCTCCTTGCTGGGAAGAAGCTGGTCGTCACTCCTGGGGAGAGAACGAGAGAAAGGGAGAGCAGACGAGAGAGGGGATGGATGGAGAGGGATATGGAACAGCCTTGTGATACTATCCGTGTCTTTGGCTCTGGTTAGGATCATCTCCTGGCTCTCCTGACATCTATCCATGAATGTGGCGGTGACCACATGGACTCTGGCACTGGTTAGAATCTTCTGCAGCCGACCAGCTTCCTCCTTGCTTGGAAGAAGCTGGGTCGTCACTCCTGGGGAGAATATCGGAGTGAACAAGAGAGGGCGCAACAGGGCGGAAAAATCAAGTGACGGCGGCATATAAGGCAATGCAAGGCAAGGCAAGGCAGTGACCACAGGGGCTGCGGCTCTGGTTAGCATCTCCTGCAGGCAACTTGCCTCGTCCTTGCTGGGAAGAAGCTGGTCGTCACTCCTGGGGAGTAAATGGGAGAGAACAAGAATGGAGCAACGGGGGGAAACGAACAAGCGGCGGCGTATAAGGCAATACAAGGCAGTGAGACAGGTGGCTGCGTCTCGTGGAATAGGAGAGGGGATGGTTGGTTCGAGGGGCTTTTGGGAATCTGATTGAATGCAAGATTCACTTGTAAAGGCACTGCATGCGGAAAGGCGTTATGTGGGAAACACTTAACCTACACAACCACGCATAACCACTCACTACACATACCCGGCAATAACGAATGCTGGTGCACGAATGGAAACGTGATAAAAGTTTAGTTTTGAGTTGTCTTAAAACTTAACTTTAATCACGAATGGAAGGGAGTAGAGGCTCCCTTGAAGTGGATCAGAGCAGAAGGTAGAGAACTTTTCACACATACACTTACACATCTATGCGCGCATACATGCACATACACATAACCGCACCCACACTCATACACATGCGCATACCCGGCAATGATGAGTGTTGGTGCACGAATGGAAGGCAACAGAGGTTCTGTGAACGCACTGCCTGTCTCCAGCAGGTGTAGTTTCCACTCCAGCGTGGCTTGCGGGAGCAATTCCGTGAGGAGCTGTAAAGGGTGAAGCAGAGAACATAGGGGGCATGGTTTTTGAGTCGACTCAAAAGAAGCAGAGAACATAGGGGGCATGGTTTTTGAGTCGACTCAAAAGAAGCAGAGAACATAGGGGGCATGGTTTTTGAGTCGACTCAAAAGAAGCAGAGAACATAGGGGGCATGGTTTTTGAGTCGACTCAAAAGAAGCAGAGAACATAGGGGGCATGGTTTTTGAGTCGACTCAAAAGAAGCAGAGAACATAGGGGGCATGGTTTTTGAGTCGACTCAAAAGAAGCAGAGAACATAGGGGGCATGGTTTTTGAGTCGACTCAAAAGAAGCAGAGAACATAGGGGGCATGTTTTTGAGTCGACTCAAAAGAAGCAGAGAACATAGGGGGCATGGTTTTTGAGTCGACTCAAAAGAAGCAGAGAACATAGGGGGCATGGTTTTTGAGTCGACTCAAAAGAAGCAGAGAACATAGGGGGCATGGTTTTTGAGTCGACTCAAAAGAAGCAGAGAACATAGGGGGCATGGTTTTTGAGTCGACTCAAAAGAAGCAGAGAACATAGGGGGCATGGTTTTTGAGTCGACTCAAAAGAAGCAGAGAACATAGGGGGCATGGTTTTTGAGTCGACTCAAAAGAAGCAGAGAACATAGGGGGCATGGTTTTTGAGTCGACTCAAAGAAGCAGAGAACATAGGGGGCATGGTTTTTGAGTCGACTCAAAAGAAGCAGAGAACATAGGGGGCATGGTTTTTGAGTCGACTCAAAAGAAGCAGAGAACATAGGGGGCATGGTTTTTGAGTCGACTCAAAAGAAGCAGAGAACATAGGGGGCATGGTTTTTGAGTCGACTCAAAAGAAGCAGAGAACATAGGGGGCATGGTTTTTGAGTCGACTCAAAAGAAGCAGAGAACATAGGGGGCATGGTTTTTGAGTCGACTCAAAAGAAGCAGAGAACATAGGGGGCATGGTTTTTGAGTCGACTCAAAAGAAGCAGAGAACATAGGGGGCATGGTTTTTTGAGTCGACTCAAAAGAAGCAGAGAACATAGGGGGCATGGTTTTTGAGTCGACTCAAAAGAAGCAGAGAACATAGGGGGCATGGTTTTTGAGTCGACTCAAAAGAAGCAGAGAACATAGGGGGCATGGTTTTTGAGTCGACTCAAAAGAAGCAGAGAACATAGGGGGCATGGTTTTTGAGTCGACTCAAAAGAAGCAGAGAACATAGGGGGCATGGGGGGCATGGGTGGCGTGGGGGTAATGGAACAGCAGAAGAATTAATGCGCTGCCTGCCTCCAGCAGATGTAGCTTCCACTCCAGTGTGGCTTGAGGGAGCAAGTCTGTGAGAAGCTGAATGAGAGGGGTAATAAACACGGGGCACAGGGATTGTGAGGAAAGGCAGATGAGGAGAAAATGGTCGACCCAAAACATGCTCGCTAAAACTAGCACCAGCCGTGGGAGTGCGACTCACCACCAGCAGAGAAAACAGCACGACCAAGTGGTTCACTTGACAGGTGTGGTTAAGAGTAAAGGGAGCAGCATGAGAGAGCAGTTTACAGGGAGAGACGGCAGCAGGCTGAGCTGATTGTTCCTTGGTTTCTCTTAGCAGTCCTAGGTAGAGGTGTCAAGAGGCGAGGCGTCAAGCGGAGAGGGAGCAGCAGAGGGAGAGAGAGCGGCTTCCAGGGAGAGACAGCAGGCTTACAGGCAGAGAGGGCAGCAGGCTTACAGGCAGAGAGGGCAGCAGGCTTACAGGCAGAGAGGGCAGCACGCTTTTCCAAACGATCCAAGGGAGAGGCGTCAAGAGGAGTGGCGTCAACGGGAGAGGGAGCAGGGAAAGAAAACAGCTTACTGGCAGTGAGGGCAGCAGGCTAAGCAGATTGTCCCTTAGCTTTTCCAAACGATCCAAGGGAGAGGCGTCCAGTGGCAAGCCTCCAGATGCTATGCGGATTGGGTTGACTGAAAGGGATTGTGTTGTGGGAGAGATGGAAGGAGGAGGAGGAGGGGGGGGGAGAAGGAGGGGAAATGAAGCCACAGAAGGGGGGGGAGAGAGGGAAGGAAATGAGAGAGGGACGGAGAGGCAGAACCGCCGTAATATACAAGCTTCTAAACTGAAGCATGTGCATGGATAAGCTGAAAGGAATGCAGAAACAGCATCGTAGGAAGACAAGCTAACAAGCCATGCATACGAAATTTCTGAATTAGGAGTGTTGGGATGTGAGAGCAGCAGAGTGAGTCATGCTTTTGTACCTATGGCGAGGCTGAAGAGGAACGGGAGAGCAGCGTAGGCCTCTGGAGGGACGCTCTTTAGCAGAGGAATGAGGGGCTGCAGCGAGGAACGGGGGAAGCTGGTGGCTGGGACGGAAAGGAAGGGGGGGCAGGCGGGGTTGACATGGTGGGAGGTTGAATAAAAAGGGGTTTCTGAAGCCTTTCAGATGGATATGCGGCCTCTGGAGGGACGCTCTTGAGCAGAGGAATGAGGGGCTGCAGCGAGGAACGGGGGAAGCTGGTGGCTGGGAGGGAATGGGCATGGGGGAGGGACATGGTGCTTGGAGGGACGAGATTGGAGTAGGATGGGTCAGATTGAAAGCGGAGAGGAGTGGGAGGAGGGGGTGGGTGAAACAGACGCAGGCCCACACAAATAGACAGTCTTACCCGAGTTTATGAGAGCGAGGCTGATGGGAAAGGAGGGATTCCGTGCTGCCACTGCTGCAGCCAGGAGGGCACCGAACAACTCCCCCACGAGAAAGAGACAGCCCAGCTCAGAACCAACATAGTAGTACCGTAGGCACCATACCACCCGGAAAAGGTCACTACTAAGTAGTACCCCGCTTCTCACCTGAGTTGATCAGAACGAGGCTGATGGGCAAGGAGGGATTTCGGGCTGCCACTGCAGCTGCGAGGAGAGCACCAAACGACTCCCCCGCGAGAAAGAGCGGCCGGTTGGGCGACTGCTCGTGCTCTTGCAGCACCTCAGCCTCTGTGAGAGATAACAGGCCTGGGAAAGCATGGCGCAGGAGGGGGAGGAGTGAAGGGTGGTGAGGGGAAGAGGTGAATGCATGTGTCCTCCACTGGTTGGTTGGGTGACCGGTCGTGCTCTTGCAGCACCTCAGCCTCCACGAGAGATAGTAGACCTGGGGAAAGAATGGAGGATGGGGTGGGGGTAGGAGGGTTGCATACGAAAGAGGTGCATGCGTCAGGCCATAGCCAACCAACCCCATTCAAACACCCACAGATGCATGCACCCTCATAGAGTGGGAGAGCCTACCTTGGAAGTCGGTTCGGTCAGACAGCGGTATGTGCAGACACGTGACTTCAAACAGCCGGCCCAGGGACTTGTGATGCAGCTTGAGCCCGTACCCAACCCCATCCACGCCAGGGAGAAACAGCAGCCGTGGCAGGGTTTTCCCCGTCTGTTGCTGTTGCTCTGCTGCGGGTGGCCTCGCGTCCAACGGACAGAAGAACCGAGGGACTGCTGCTACTGCCACTTCCGCGCCGCTGCTGTCTGCACTGTTTTGACTGCTGCTGGTGTTCTGGCCTCTGCTGCTCCTGCTGTTGTCTTCTCTGCTTCCTCCTAGATCAGGGAGGAGAGGCCTCAAAACATCCGGAATAGGGAGAATCTGTTCTAGAAGGTTCAGCGACTCTGGAGATGGTAACGGTAACGGTAACTGAAACGGATTCTGGAACGGAAATGGTAGCTGTAACGTGTTTCCGTCCGCCATGCGCCCATCCTTATCCCGTCTCGAATTCTCTGTTCCGGATTTTTCACCGGGAATCCCCTCGCCCCTTGTCGCTCCTGCTGACCCGCTATTAGCCGCTCCATCAGATTCAATAAAAGCACGCAGCTCGCAGAGGTAATCGAATATGTCAGGCGCCACGTACTCGCGTCTAACCCGCTCCACTGTAGCATACCTCTTTATTAGTTCATTCACCTGTCGCCGCGACTCGACGTCTTCCTCATCGTCTCTCGCCGCGGACCCCCGAATTTCTCCCTTACGGCCGTTCAACTGAGCAGGTTGTTCTCTATTCACTAAAGAAGACGCAGGCTGCGAATCCGACCCTATGATGTCGTCTCCCCGGCGGTTACGATTTGCTGAATCGGTGGCAACGGCTGTTGTCAGGGGTGCAGACGAAGGAGACGGTGATTCGTGCGAAGGGGACGGCTTGGATGATTCGACGGATCCGCTGGCGGAATCTGGCTCGTTGATTGCTCTGACTGACAACGACTTGCTGCTACGACCAATTTTCCGGGTCGCTCGCCTCCGATTCGGCACTGCATTGCTAGTCCCAATGATACTATTGGTTCTAGGAACGATAAACTGCGAGTTTGAGTAGGCTGCACGGGTTCTTGGACTTAGAGCTGCCTGACTAGCAATTGCGTCGAAAGACGTCGCCACATGCGTCCCTAACGGAAGAATGCCCGGCTGCGGTGATGGCGAGAGGGTTGGAAGGTGCATTTTGGTGAACGATCAAAATGAAGGCGGTGCGAGGAAAACGAAAATAGGCCGCTGAGAAGCGAATTCAAAACGCTCACCCAGGTTTGTGTTCTCTCTAACAACGCTACGAATCAGCACGGAATAAAGTTGTGCTGGGGAAGCTGTGTCGCTGTATGAAAACACAGAATAGTCGTGTTGTAACGGATCTACTAAGAAAAAGGGCATTTACCCATATAAAGATAAGTTCTAACACAAACAGAGAGTAGCAGCTCCTGGAAATCACTAAGTCTGGAGAGTGCTAGGAGATGCAGTAACAAACTGTGGAAGGTGAGTTGAGGAGAAGACAATCCTATTTCCCAATTGATTTGTTGGGAGTAGGAAATGAGGAATGAGCCAAGAGGCTTCAGACCCCTTCCCTAGACCCCCTTGGGGTGCAGCCACCTTCCCCATGGCAAGGAGGGGTGCACTCCCTTGGGTCTTGCCCATGTGGCAACAAACAAGATTTTCAACCAATTACATTTTAGATAGCAAGGATAAGAATTGCATAGCAATCACAAACCTGTATTTGTTTCTCATTGGTTGTGTTTGAAGTGAGCGGCGGAAACATTGTCGACTCACTCTTGGGGCTGTGATCTGATTGGTTGAATTAGTGATGAGGTGAACTTACAAGGGTTATGTTTGAACAAGCTCAAACCAATTGCGTAAGTTTGACTCAGCAACAATTTCGATTGGTTGGTTTCCCAATCAATCCTGAATTGCCCGTAAGTCTCGCTTTCCCAACCAACCAGATTTCCCCACATTTCTCCCTCAGCTGGTTCGACGTATCGAGACCAGCTGGGGTTGGGTACGGATGTTACACTCCTCCCCCTCCAGCTGGCAACGTCCTCGTTGCCGTGGGGTGCTTCTTAGGACGAGTGCTACGAGCACGACGAACCACATTACGACCAGGGTCAACACCATCCGCTGGTTGTGGGAGTGCTCGCTGAGCCAGGTCTTCCATGTAAGACTGAACCGCAGTATCAGTCAAATGTTCTTCCGGCTCCCATGAGTTGTGTTCAGGCCCATAGCCTTTCCACTTAATGAGGAACTCTCGTACAGTCTTGCGGCCGCGTTGTCGATCACGATGCAAAAGCACTCGTTCGACTTCATAGTACAGTTCCTCCCCCAGGACGATTGTTGGTGGTGGTAAGTACTTGCCGTCTGCAACGTACTTGCTTAACAGAGACACATGGAAGACATTGTGAATCTGCAGGGTATCAGGTAGCTTGAGCTTGTAAGCTACCGCACCAACTCGTTGAGTCACCTCAAAGGGCCCAATCCATCGAGGGAACTGTGAAAAGAATAACTAGGCAAGAATGATTGAAAGGAGAGAGGTTTCACTAGCAGCAGTTGGGGTACATATAGCAAACCCTAACTGGGTTGTACTCGCTATAGAGCACCCCACTACAGGCTAGACAATAATAACATTCTGACACACCCCCATAGCCAAAGTGGGGTGTAATCAGTACAATGAGCAGGCATAGCAATAGTTCACAATTATAAGCAAAGCTAGAGGTGATCATAGAGGGCAAGTGAGGAGGAGGAGAAACTGTGAGGGCGAGAAGATGAAAGGCGCCGACTGAAGCTGCAGACACACGGGCAACAGGAGCGGCGCGCACAGTGGCTACCGAGCGCACGAGGGCACCGGACTACGGGAGTATCTGGCTCCGCGGCTACGACGAGCACACACAGGAGCAACGGACCCACAGGCGACTGGCGAAGCAGGCTCGCTGGGCTACCGAAACGCGCGAGGGCATCCGGACTACTGGCGCTGCTGGCGTCACGACGGCTACCTCCACGCAACCTCCCCCGACCGTCCCACACCCCTCGACACACACCCCCTGCTGCGCCCCTAGCTCCACTCCCCCTTCACCCCCCTAGGACCACTCCTTCGGCTCCCCACACAACCACCCCCCTGAGCGGCAGCTGCAGCAGCGGGAGACGGAGGAGGAGGAGAAGGAGGGGACGGGGCACACAACCGGCACCCCCACACCCGCCACCCCCACACTCTACATCCCGAAACCCTAAAACGGGTGGGATAGGGGCAGGAGCGCGGGGGACGGCGAGAGGGGGACGGACGAGGCGCGCGCAGGCTGCCCGCGCCGCGCGCTGGCCTGGCGCAGCCCGTACGGGCCGCGCGCGGGCCTGGCGCCGCCCGTACGGGCCGCGCGCGGGCTGTACGGGCCGCGCGCGGGCCTGGCGCAGCCCGTACGGGCCGCGCGCGGGCCTGGCGCAGCCCGTACGGGCCGCGCGCGGGTCCCAGGGGCGCTTCGACGGGCGACGGGGGCGTTTTGGCGGGCGACGGGGGGCGCTCCGACGGGCGACGGGGGCGCTTCGACGGGCGACGGGGGGAGGGCGCTTCGACGGGCGACGGGGGGCACTTCGACGGTGGGAAACCGCCGCGCGCCTCGGGGCGCACGGCGTGCAGAAAACCGCCGCGCGCCCCGAGCGCACGGCGGGATGAAAACCGCCGAAACCCTAGAAAAAATTCGCCGCGCGCGAGTCGTCGCGCGCCCGAGGCGCCCGGCAGGAAGTAAAGCAGCGGAAGCATTAGGTGGTGGGCCCACCCACAGGATCGACCCAGGAGGGTCGACCTGCTCTGATAGCATGTGAAAAGAATAACTAGGCAAGAATGATTGAAAGGAGAGAGGTTTCACTAGCAGCAGTTGGGGTACATATAGCAAACCCTAACTGGGTTGTACTCGCTATAGAGCACCCCACTACAGGCTAGACAATAATAACATTCTGACAGGAACAACTTTCTCGCACCAGGGATCTTAAGCCGAATATTCTTCGTGCTTAACAAAACTTTGTCTCCAACGGAGAACGAGATTTCCCGGCGTTTCATATCGGCATAGGATTTTTGCCTTTGTTGGGCCAATTGCAACCAACGACGTGCCGACTTTAGGGCCTCTCGCTGCTTGCCCACAAAATCCTTTGCGGCAGGTAATTTCAACCCGCCGATCCCATGCGTAGCAGGTGTTGTGGGATGCCGACCACAGTTCAGGATAAATGGTTTTTCATGTGTGCTATCATGCACTGAGTTGTTAACCGCAAACTCGACCATGGGTAACAACTCGTCCCAGTTGTCCTGTGTTGGGCTTATGAAAGAACGAAGCATCTGCTCGAGAGTGCGATTAGTCCGTTCCGTTTGCCCATCTGTTTGGGGATGGAACGCTGACGACATCTTAAGCTTCGTTCCTAGTGTCTCAGTTACTTCACGCCAGAATCGGCTCGTGAAGCGCGGGTCGCGATCAGACACTAACACACGTGGCAATCCGTGTAGGCGGAACACATGTGTCACGAACAACCGAGCCGTATCCTCTGCTGATACGTCCGTTGTCGTGGGTACAAAATGCACCATTTTTGTAAGGCGGTCTACAAAGACGAGTATCGCCGTATACCCATCACGGGTTCTTGGGAGGTCGGTGATGAAATCCAGTGAAACGCTTTCCCAAGGTTCACTCGGAATTTCAAGTGGTTGAAGCAAACCACCAGGCTTCTGTGTGTCCGGTTTGTTACGTGCGCACGTGTCACAACGTGCCACAAACTGTTGGACATCACTACCGACCCCTGGCCACCAGTATACATCGCGTAAGGCCCACCGGGTCTTATTCATGCCCAAGTGTCCCCCATATTTAGTGGCGTGCACCTCTTCCAAGATATCGTTCCGCAGATTGCCGACATGAGGTACCGCAATCTCTTTTGTTCGCCACCAAAGATCGTGTTCCCAAGTCAAATGCTTAGTGTTTTGTGGGTTCTGGAACCAGGAATCGATATGATATCCTGTGCGAATTCGTTTCAGAAAACCACTAAACGCGATCTCGCTCACTTTCGCCGCAGCTAGTATGCCAAAACAGGCAGCAAAAACAGCCGCATGTTCGGTATCGTCAAGCCCAGTTGCTGCCCCTATCGGCTGTCTGCTGAGGGGGTCAGCCAGGTTCGTGGAACCTGCACGATAACGAATGTCGAAACTGAACCCACTAAGGAGTTCAGCCCAACGGGCCTGACGGCGAGTGAGGGTAGCTTGGGTAGAAAAGTATGTGTTCGGACAATGGTCAGTGGTGACCACGAACTCTACCCCTTCCAAGTAACATCGCCATGTTCTTAGCGCATGCACGACAGCCAACAACTCTTGTTCGGTTGTCGTGTAGCGTTGCTCTGCCGGGGAGAGTTTTCTACTCTCAAATGCCACAGGGCGTCCTTCTTGCAGGAGTACTGCACCAAGTCCCACTGTTGAGGCGTCCGTAACCACCTCATATGGTTTCTGTGGGTTTGGCAACACCAAGTCTGGTGCATTGGTTAATTTATGCTTGACCTCTTCGAAGGCCTTTTGGCACTGTGGGGTCCACTCCCATGTGCACCCTTTCCGGGTTAATGCCGTGAGGGGAGCGACTATCGTGGAATAATTTTCCAAGAAGCGACGAAAATAATTCGCCAGGCCCAGGAATGATCGAACTTGGCCAACGTCGCGTGGGACGGGCCACTCCTGGACAGCTGCTACCTTCTTGGGGTCCACTTTCAACCCGTTATGCCCCACCACGTGCCCCAAATACTCTAGCTCACGTTTGTAAAAATGGCATTTCCACAAACGCGCGTAGTATTTGTGCTCGCGTAATTTTCCGAGGACCCATTTCAAATGTTCCGTATGCTCGTCTTCGGTTTTCGAGTATACCAAGATATCATCGAGGTACACCAAGACGAACTGGCCAATCGCATCACGAAACACATCGTTCATCGCCCTCTGGAAAGAGGCCGGAGCGTTGGTCAAGCCGAAACTTAACACACGCCACTGAAAATGGCCGAACGGCGAACGGAAAGCCGTCTTTGGAACATCGTCCTCTGTTATACGTAGTTGGTGATAGCCTTGCGCCAAATCCAGTGCACTGAACCATTGCGCACCCTGTAGTCGATCAAAAAGATCTTCTATCCGCGGAAGTGGATATCTATTTTTGATCGTAATTTTATTCAGGGCTCGATAATCGACGCACATGCGCAGTCCACCCCCCTTCTTGTGAACGAACAAGATAGGTGCTCCATATGGGGACGCGCTGGGTTCTATCCATCCCTTCCTGAGGTATTCCTCAATTTGTTGCTTAGCCTCCTCGTACTCAGCTGGACTGAGGCGATACAGAGGTCTAAACGGTGGTGCCTTTCCTGGTTCCACCGGGATGGTGTGGCCAACTGCACGGTCAGGAGGTAACCCGTCCGGAATTGGCTAAAAAACCTCAGAATATTCCTCCGCCAACGCCTTCATTTGAGGCGGAAAATCCTCAATAATCTGCGAAGTGGTTGGTTCGGAGTCTAGCTGTACAACAAAAAGTGTATCAGCTCCCTTGACATGCTCTTTGAATTGGAGAGCCGACGCAAAGCGTACATCAAGAGCTAACGTTTGAGGTTTGTCGTCCAGTGCTTGGCGTCTTGGGACTTGCCATTGAAACGTCGTCCCATTCTTTGTGAATGAAAGCGTGTTATCTTGGAAATTTAATATCACCTCATTAGGCCGTAGCCAATCCATTCCCAAGACAATGTCTACGCCTGCTAGGAGGGGTAAAACAAAAACGCTGACGGTCTCCTGATATCCTTGGATATCCAGGTTGACCAATGCATGTCCTCTGCATGGGATGATCCTGTCATCCCCCAGACGGATAGAACAAGATGGTCCTTGAACAGGAACCTTCAAATATCCCATCCACTTCTCATCGATCAATGACGCAGTTGCACCCGTATCAACTAGGATCGAGGCACTGCGCCCATTTACGCAACCCGAAAACAAAAGGTTTTGCTGATGTTTGGGTCGGATAGGACATGCTGTAATATCAGTGGGAGGCAAATAATATGCCTTAATACCATGCTTGCTACGTCCAAAAGAACGAGCTTGTGTCCACCACACGTGGTGTCCTTTATCCCATTGCGCTAACACACTCCATTCTTGAAGCGCTCGAAATAATTTACCTCGAACTGTGCGCGTTACCATTCCAACCGCAGTTAGAGGGTGCGCTTGGGTGCAACGACCCACCACATCCATTATCCAAGGCAAATTGTGGTGATCACAAAAGATAATTGAGAATTTATCTCGTAATGATTCAACTGCGATACTTTCCAGTGGGTGAAATCGAGAGGCAAACGAAAAACATTCATTAAAAGAAAATGCATACACACATGCAATTTTGCAATCAACAAGGCATTCGAGTTTCAACAACTCCTCATCCCGCAGGACCACTGCCTCATCCTCTCGATCTACTATGCCCGCTAGGTACCCACCCCCTAGTTGGGCTTTGCAAAATCCCGCTGGGTGCCTGAGGGACCACTGCCGTCATTGCGCTTGTTGTCCGTCTTAGCCTTGCCAGAGTACTTCACCGACTTGCGGTGGCGGCACTCATAACCCTTGTGTCCAGGCTTGCCGCACTTGAAGCAGCTCTGGACATTGCTTGGTCCACCCTCATTGACCTTCTTGGCCTTGTGGTCAGCCTGCTGTCCCTGCTGGAAGGGCCTCTTGTGGTTCCCGCCCTTCCAAGGCGTTCCCTGCTGCCTTCCACTCGGACCCGCAGTGCTAGAAGACGGCCTTGAGGCCTGCTGCGGCTGGGTAGTGGTTTTGGCATAAGCACGGAAGTGCTTATCAGTGGTCCCCACCACGCGCTTCACGTGATCATAGGACCTCCATGCCTCCCCAGCCCCATCCGTCATATGCATGTTCTTGAGGTGCTCAGGCAGCCCCCTGAAGAACAGATGGATCTTCTCACCCTCGCTCATGCGTTCTGCCGGTTTCTGCAGCACCCAGATCTCCTCGAACTCCACAGCGTACTGCTGCACTGTGCGGTTCCCGCACTGCAGCTTCTCAAGGCGGCTGCGCACCTCCAGCTGGGTCGGCTGGACCTGGAAGGCTTGCTTGAGTGCAGATGCGAATTCCTCCCATCCAAACGGCTTCCTATCCGCCTCAGCCTGGATCTTGCTGCCATACACCACTCGCTGTGCATTCTGGTCCAGCACGGTGGTGGCAGCGACGACGCGAGCGTCGTCTTGGACCTTGTGCGCCTTGAACAGGTCGGTCATCATCGACAGCCACGCAGCCACGTCCGTCTTGCCATGGATGAATGGCGGCAGGGTGATTGGCAGAGAGCCAAAAGCCTGCGTGCTCGGCTCAGCAGCGCGCTGCGTAGAAGGACCAGGGTCACCCACTGCACCACCAGAGCGAGAAGGGTTGGTGCGACCGCTAGCAGAGTTGGCAGGCGGTTCCGCTCGTGGTGCAGGGCGATACATGGTCTCCCTTCGGAGGGCACTGAACGCCTCGCGCAGCTCGTTGATCTTTGAGGTCTGCCTCGCCAGCTGATGAACGTGCTCCCGGGCGTCGTGCTTCATGTTCTTGAGCTCAACTTCCAGGTACTTGATTTTGTTGTCCTGGTCAGAGAGATCCCTCTTGAGGTTGGTGATGAGTGACTGCTGCTGCTGGATGCGCGTATCCTGCTCAGCAGCATGGTCCTGCAGCTTAGCAATTTCAGCATGCAAAATGTCCTCTTCCCCTTCCAACTCAATGTCATCCTCCTGAGACTCCCCTTCCTGCTCCTTGGAATTTTCAGCAGCTGAAGGGTCCTTAGCAGGGGAGTTTTCAGCAGGTTCCTTTTCAGCCATTTCCTCATCCAAGTTGTTCAAGTCAATCTTCTGCACACAAACTTCCAGATCAGCATGGGAGTTGTTGCCTTCAACACCACCAGCATTGGAGTTGGTAGAAGCCATTTAGAGCAAAGTCACTGTATTATAAAAATGAGTTACAGATCTACTGCAAATTGTTACCACCGCAGTGAATAACCAAGATTTTCTCCAGAGGAGAAATGTCTTCAATAGATCTTACAACCACAACAATGTGAAAAACACCTCTGTTGCAAAATATCCTTACCACCGCAGTGGATAAGGCAAGAACAATCACCAAGTGATTGTCTTCAACAGCAAATGTTAATCCACACAGGTTGCAACTCTTTCACAGTAGCTCCAATGGTTCCACCAGCAGGGAGGGAGGGCTTAGAACTCTTGGAGAAGCTTGTAGATCTTGAAAACTGCTTGAGTAGCTTGTAGTCTTCACAAGTTTATAATATGGTGATTTCAATGAAAATAACAACTCCTCCAAGAAAAGAAAAAAGAAAAATCCTCTTAGATGCCCACAAGGCGAGGATCTACTAATAGCTCTGATTACCAATGTAACGGATCTACTAAGAAAAAGGGCATTTACCCATATAAAGATAAGTTCTAACACAAACAGAGAGTAGCAGCTCCTGGAAATCACTAAGTCTGGAGAGTGCTAGGAGATGCAGTAACAAACTGTGGAAGGTGAGTTGAGGAGAAGACAATCCTATTTCCCAATTGATTTGTTGGGAGTAGGAAATGAGGAATGAGCCAAGAGGCTTCAGACCCCTTCCCTAGACCCCCTTGGGGTGCAGCCACCTTCCCCATGGCAAGGAGGGGTGCACTCCCTTGGGTCTTGCCCATGTGGCAACAAACAAGATTTTCAACCAATTACATTTTAGATAGCAAGGATAAGAATTGCATAGCAATCACAAACCTGTATTTGTTTCTCATTGGTTGTGTTTGAAGTGAGCGGCGGAAACATTGTCGACTCACTCTTGGGGCTGTGATCTGATTGGTTGAATTAGTGATGAGGTGAACTTACGTGGGTTATGTTTGAACAAGCTCAAACCAATTGCGTAAGTTTGACTCAGCAACAATTTCGATTGGTTGGTTTCCCAATCAATCCTGAATTGCCCGTAAGTCTCGCTTTCCCAACCAACCAGATTTCCCCACATTTCTCCCTCAGCTGGTTCGACGTATCGAGACCAGCTGGGGTTGGGTACGGATGTTACACGTGTGCTGAATGTGGTTGTTCGTGTATGATGAACCTGCTGGATTCGCCCAAGTTGTGTGGGAGACTGACTGTTCAGAAGAGGAGTGATGGCTGGAGGAAGGTGTCAAACTATATGTGCTGCATATTATCTAGGCTGTAGTGGGGTAGCCCATATGGGGTACAACCTAGTAGGGTTTACTACTTGTACTCCTGCATCCTGTTAGTTCATCCATTCCTGCTGCTAGATTCTAACATGGTTTCAGAGCACTAAGGTCCGTAGGACCGTTTTTTTTTCGGGCCCACCTACCGCTGCGGTTACCGCGCTACCCCACGTAGCCTTGCCTTGCCTTGCCTTGCCTTGCCTGCGCGCTGCCCCTAGAGGCCCGTAAGGCCCGCGCGCCGCCTCTACACGCCTGTCAGGCCCGTAAGACCCGCACACACGCTGCTACCGCGCGCTGCCCGCACCGAGACCGCGCAGCCCGCACCGAGTCGCGCGCAGCCCGCACCGAGCCGCGCGCAGCCCGCTGCAGCCGCGCGCAGCCTGCACCGAGCCGCGCACAGCCCGCTGCAACCGCGCGCAGCCCGCACCGAGCCGCGCGCAGCTCGCAGCTGCCGCGCGCAGCCCGCGCCGAGCCCGCGCAGCCCGCGTCGAGCCGCGCGCGGCCTGCTACGGCCTCGCGAGGCCCGCGCGCGGCCCGCAGCAGCTCGTGCCGAGCCGCGCGAGGCCTGCTCCTGCCTCGCACGGCCCGCGCGCGGCCCGCAACAGCCCGCGCCGAGCCGCGCGCGGCCCGCAACAGCCCGCGCCGAGCCGCGCGCGGCCCGCTACTCCCTAGCGCGGCCGCGCGCGGCCCTTTGCCTCGGCCCCGACCTGCCGCTGATGCGGCCCCGCCCAGCAGCTGCCATGGCCCCGACCTGCCGCTGATGCGGCCCCGCCCTGCAGCTGCCACGGCCCCGACCTGCCGCTGACGCGGCCCCACCCTGCTACTGCCGCTGACGCAGCCCCGCTCTACAGCTGTTTCGGCCCTGCTCTGCAGCCGGTTTTGCGGCCCCGACGTCGCCGCTGTCGTGCGCATACTCGAGCGCCGGCCCTGCTCTCCTAGCCTTTGGTGAGCGCCTGCCTGCCTGCCTGACGGCCTGCCTGTCTGCCTGCCTGCCTGCCGGCCTGGCTGCCTGCCTGCCTGCCGGCCTGCCTGCCTGCCTGCCTGCCGGCCTGCGTGTCTACTTGCCTGCCTGCCTGCCTGCCTACCTGCCTGCCTGTCTGCCTGCCTGCCTGCCTGCCTGGCTGCCTGCCTGCCTGCCGGCCTGCCTGCCTGCCTGCCGGCCTGCCTGCCTGCCTGCCTGCCTGCTTGCTTGCCTGCCTGCCGCGCCTGCCTTGCCTGCGCTACTGCTACTGGCAGGTGGCCAGATGCAGCTCCAGCGACATTCACGCGAGCCTCTGACGCCCCAGCAGCTTAGTGAGTGGTATACTAGCTGGGGTTGTCGCGGTAGCCGTCGTAGCTGTCGCCCTGGAGCTGGTCAGTTGGGAGCGTCTGGCAGTGGCCAGCTGCAGCTGCAGGGACGTCCACGTGAGACACTTACGCCCCGGCAGCTCCAGGAGTGGTACGCTCAGTGTAGCAGGTCTACGCGTACAGTCCGCTGCTTGTACGTCATTCGCACAGGTGCTAGGACTGGTCAGCCTTGTGGGACGCTTGGTCACACACAGTCCCGCTGCTTCGCCCGTCTGAGCGACGACTGGCGCACAGTGTTTGGCGACGAGGCTGAGCTCCCCACCTGGCTGGAGCTGCATAGACAGAGGGTAGATATCTTTGCGCTTGACTATGATGCTATTCTCACTGCCATGTATGCATTGTCTACTAGTGCTGACCGTGCCTGTTGCCTGTGCGTACCGCCTGACCCTGGTGAGGCTGCTGCCCTAGGTGCTAGTGCGTCTCCTGCTCTAGGTGCTGGTGAGGCTGCTGCTCTCGGTGCTAGTACGTCTACTGCTCTAGGTACTGGTGAGGCCGTGGCTTCAGGTGCTGCTGTGTCTGCTCTCTCTGGTACTGCGCCCACTACGGTCTCGCACACCTTCACCCTTGACTCAGGAGCTTCCCGCTCCTTCTTTCGCGACTGCACCGCACTCACGCCGCTCCGTCGGCCAGTCCCGGTCTCCCTGGCGGACCCCTCTGGGGGTCCAGTCCTTGCCCACTATTCCACGGTTCTGCCGTGTCCGGCCGTCCCGTCCGGCTCGCTGTCAGGTCTTTACCTCCCCTCGTTCTCTACGAACTTGGTGAGTGGAGCTGACCTCCAGGATGGGGGGGTTCACCAGTTCACTCCTGCGAGTCAGCGAGTGACTCACTGTACGTGTGCTAGGACGGGCCGGCACTTGGCCACGTTCACCCGTGCACCTGGCTCGAGTCTGTACACACTGACCACTGAGTCCCCTCAGGTAGCTGCGTCTGCGTTTGCGTCTGCGTCTGGTCAGCTGGCGGCCCCCTGCGAGTGTCGCGCTTTGTCGCACGACACTCTCCTGTGGCACCACCGCCTTGGTCACCCCTCCTTGCCTCGCCTGCGTAGCATGCACTCTCGCTCCCTGGTCTCTGGTCTTCCCAGGTCCCTGCCTGCCCTCCCTCCCTCGCCTGCGCCGCCCTGCATTCCTTGCGTCGAGGGGCGGCAGCGCGCCGCTCCTCACTCCTCCTCGTTTCCTCCCACAGAGGCTCCACTGCAGACGCTCCACCTGGACGTGTGGGGCCCAGCCCGCGTCCAGGGACAGGGCCGCGAGCGGTACTTCCTGCTGGTCGTCGACGACTACACGCGTTACACCACGGTCTTCCCCTTGCAGAGCAAGGGGGACGTCCCTGCTGTTTTGATCCCCTGGATCCGCGCTGTTCGTCTCCAGCTCCGCGAGCGGTTCCGGTCGGATTTCCCTGTCCTGCGTCTGCACTCTGACAGAGGTGGTGAGTTCTCCTCCGACCTCTTGGCAGCCTACTGTGCGGAGCACGGCATCACCCAGTCGTTCACGCTTCCGGCCTCTCCGCAGCAGAATGGGGTTGCTGAGCGCCGCATTGGCTTAGTCATGGAGGTCGCTCGTACCTCCATGATCCATGCGGCTGCCCCCCATTTTCTGTGGCCGTTTGCGGTCCGGTACGCCGCGCATCAGCTCAACCTCTGGCCCCGTGTCTCCTTGCCGGAGACCTCGCCCACACTGCTGTGGACGGGGAAGGTTGGCGATGCGTCGCGTTTCCGGGTCTGGGGTGCTCGTGCCTTTGTCCGCGATACCACCGCGGACAAGCTCTCCGCCCGCGCTGTTCCCTGTGTCTTCCTTGGCTTTGTCCCTGACGCGCCTGGTTGGCAGTTTTACCACCCCACCTCGCGCCGTGTCTTTGCGTCTCAGGACGTCACGTTCGACGAGTCGGTTCCCTTTTACCGTCTCTTCCCCTACCGCACTTACCCCCCCGCTCCCCCCCCCGCCGCTCTTCCTTGCTCCAGGTGCTCCCCAGGTAGACCCCCTCTCCGCTCCCGGTCCTGCTCCTTCAGGTGTTTCTCAGGTAGACCTTCCTCCCTTGACTGCGCCGGTTGAGGTCACTGGTGACTCAGGTCCTCCTGCGAGTGGTCCTGCTCGGGGTGCTGAGCCTGGGGGTGCGGAGCCTGGGGGTGCTGAGTCTGGGGGTACTGAGCCTGAGGGTGCGGAGCTTGAGGGTGTAGAGCCTGGTGGTGCTGAGCCTGCGTGTGAGGGGTCTGGGGGTGCTGAGCTTGGCGGTACTGACGCTGGAGGTTCTGGAGCTACTGAGGGTGCTGGCGCTGGAGGTTCAGGAGCTGCTGGAGGGCCTAGTCCTGGTGGCGCTGGAGCTGGAGGTCCTGGAGCTGTTGAGGGTGCTCGCGCTGGAGGTTCTGGAGTCGCTGGAGGTACTGGTGCTGAGGGTAC